TAAAAGTTAACTATAACCGAATAAAAGGAGCCGGCCAAGAGGCCACCTTAACACCAAAAAAAAAATATATATATATTATTATAAGTAAATAACCAAAATCAATCAATACTACTATGCTCATGTGATGAATAAGTATCATGGTGAGATCGATCATTAAAAATTCGGAAAAATTATTGCCGAGACACGATTTGTACTGTATATTGTACGAATATTTATAGAGTTAAACCCACCCCTCGAAGATGCAGAGCGCCGAACTACTGCATAATTAATGTCCTGATTATCCTTTTCTAGGCAATAATATACAGCTCAAAACTAAATATAACAAACTACATAGGAGATTAATTAACATGTATGGAGCATAGTTCACCACTTATATAAATCCCTTTTCCCATATTTTTTAACTATAAATTTTATTGTTCTGACCTGCCTGAACATTGCATTTCTTTTTCTCGTTAGATTGTTTTTGTGTTGATAAGATGACTTCTATAGCTATTTGACACGAGTTTGCTTTGGCGAGTTGTGTGATTGAACATGCGCACAATCTTCTTGCTTCAACAGAGTAGAGGGCTCAGTGTTTTGGTGATAGCAGTTTGTTTGTTCCGCAAAAATATGCAATCTAGCTATCTTTTAATAATATAGTCTTTTTAGAGATAGTCAAGCAAAAAATTTCGTTTCTACTATTGAAGCGATAGGGCCTCTAACTATGTGTATTATGTATAGAGAAATAATATGACGCAGGGACTCGCATTAAATGGTTTAGGATCTGTGTATTCCCTCCCTTGAAAGCATATCATATATTTTTTCCATTTATTTTTTCTTTATATGCTTATAAAAACACTATTATAGAGGACACGATTGTCAGACTATAATTGTCTACGTAGTGAGGAGAGGAAGCTTCCTGCGGTTTAGTCTACTGAGCTACGGGATAAGAAATAGTTTAAAAGTATCTATCTCGAAATTTATATAAATACAAAATCTCGATTGGATTGCGAAAAAAAGTAAATATACTATATTTGAGGTAATTAATATTAATATTCAGTCGAAAAGTCTATTTTCTTCCTTGCATTTTTTCACACAGAAGCCCAGTACCCATCAATATCAATAAAGCTAGATGCGTCTGCACTGTGCTGTATATATGCAAAAGGCTTTGAAGATAATAGCGAAGGAGTTAATAAATGTGCCTCATTAAGCAAACTAGGCGTAAAGCTTTTTATAGTCTTGATTGGTACAATATTTTGGATAAGGCATGCACTTCCATCTTGGGTTTTAGTTTTGGAGTATTCATTATCTCAGTGATTTTGCATCAAGTCCTCAGATTTAATCCCGTAGCCTAATCTACACCATCCTTTCTAATATACCTTTTTTGGTTCTACTTCGATAATCTTTACTAATCTCCAGCATTTGAAACATATAGCTATCTGACTTTTATGAACTTTGGGTCTTCGATAGCTGATATGCTTTATTTTCAGTCTGTGATTTTCAAGATACGTCCTAATTGATCCTTGTCCAAATAAACTAAAAAAGTAGTGTATATGAAATATACTATGCCTTTCTTTAGAACGTAACTCTTGCAAATCATCTTTTATACGAATAGCCCACTATTGAGATGTTTCACAGGGTCTAATAATAGCTAAATCATTGTATCTTTTTTCTAGTTTACACATATTTTCAACACGATTATAGTTATAACTACCACATTTTACATAATATTTTTTGACATATTTCAAATCATATTCTGGACGAAGATTAATTAGTTTGGGTACCGATTTATTAAAAACCTCATCTATAATGATTTTAGGTATTTGACTAGACATATTTATTAATAATTTATTGTTTTAGTGTTTTAACGATTTATAGTGTTTTTAGCAATTTATAGTGTTTTTAGCGATTCTTTATCAACCTATATCAAGGAATATTATGATTCAAATTTGTATATAGCTGAAAATGAAAAAATGTAAGTAATTGTTAATATACACTTCATAGATTTTTATTTCTTTTTTGCATATATTGCAAGTAAATACTAATATATAAATTATATTTCCCAATTGTGATCTTAAGAATAGCATTAGAAAAACGGTGAACAATATCAAAAATACGACTACACAAAAACACTTTTTTCTAGTTGCCAAGACGGGACACATGTCACCAGATGCAGTAATTGTTGAAATATTTTACGAATGTTTTTTAATGGATTTGCTACTTCCAGATATTCACATAATTCAGGGTAATCGAACATGCCTATGACTCTATCTTGTTTTATATTTTTAACAGTGATAAAGTCAGTTGCCTGATCATATATATGCTTATATTTATCTGGATTGCATAGTGGCATGTACTGTATGAGCAAGTAGTAAACTTACCCATTGCCTTGCGCTGATTATTTTTCAATTTCTTAGCTATTATCACTTAGCTTTGCCTGATTTAATTAATCTCTTTTTTCTTTAGTGATTCTTCTTTAATATTAAAGGAGAATATTATCATTCAAATTTATACGGGTTTACTAATTAAAAGATTTTAATCCAAGCTAATTCATAAACACGAAAATAAATTTTATTAGCTACGACAAAATTTTGGTGAATGGCATATCCCATCCTTTTCGTATTCGGTGAGGATGATTTTGAGGTATTGTTAAATCGAAGACAATGAAATTCTGATCACACAAATAGTTATTGATATCTGCATATATGCTACGCCAATCATTAGCATATAGGCAAAGAATACGGGCTAGTTCATTTGAGATGGACCTATTGAAGAGTACTATATAATTTAGTTCTTTTCTTATTATCTTCAGATAGTCAAAAAAGCTCTGTATTATGTAAATTGGGCTTATATTTTTGTGGCGACCTTCAGTGAAATAAGGAACAATCTTTTCCTAGACCTTCTTTGAATTAGCACACAAGTCTTCGAATATAACTACTGTACTCTTTTCTAGAGAGAATGATTCCAGCTTTGGAATTTTATCGGGTTTCATTGCCTGAAATATTATATCTTCATGATATGATTCTGTGCTATTTGCAATAATCTGGTATCCCAATTTAAGGTATAAATATTTTGGTTCCTTAAGATGGTGGCTAATAAGTACTAAATCATCATTCAAAATATATCTGGTCCCCCTTTTTTTCCGTTGAACATTCGATAAAGCTTATTTTCCAATAATAGGTTGACAACTTCGTTAGTTTTTCCCGAATTGGTGCGACCACTAACTAATAATATAAAGGGCCATTGAGGTATTGAGTTCAATGCATTAAATTTTTTCGTATCTTTTATCTCATCAATATGGAGAACGATTCTATCTACCGGATTAAGCTTTTTGACTTTCATATTGTTGAAACTAAGTATTACTAATAATACAGTATATTAAGCGAAGTAAAATTTCTTAGTAAAATTTCAAGATCTAGGCTTCATTTTATCCAAGAATCTTTTCTCAATTAGCATATGCCTAATATAGAGAAAAAGATCACATGTATGGGGTATCAAGATAAGACATATACCTTCTTTTTTACATAGGTCTTGCTTTTTTTGGTCTTGAAATATTTGTTCATCCAAATCTATTCCTCCTCTTTTATGAAACATTGAATTAAGAGTATAGTGCTGGGGTTCCTGGTACTCAAAAGCCAGTTTTAATTCTTCATTATACCCATCAAGATGCATTCCATCCAAAAATTTAGACCTACATGGTAGAAATTTCTTATCTAGTAGATCTTCAAAAATGTATCGTACGGTTCTTTCAGTAGTATGGTAGCATAAGGGACACTACTTGAGTTTTTTCATGATATATTTTAGTGGATATTCCTACTGATGCGCACCATTTTCACAAGACCAAAGATATGTGTTATGACCATTTATTCGTCCAGTCTTTTCTAGACATTGACTATTTCACTTTTTAGCATAATTTTTCGCTTGATCTAACTCATTATTGGTAGGGGAGGCATATGCAATATGTACGGATAATATACTTTGAGGAGAAAGCTCGGAATCACAAGTCAAATACATGAGTTTCTCTCATGAATCCCCGCTTTGGTGAAAACTCATTACCTTCGAGATAATATAAGATAGGCTCATTTTTTGACACTACGATTTTTCAGATTTTATGAATAGAAGGTGACCATATAGGATTAGTGCTCCTATGTACTGCTTTCATCCCACCTTCTCATTTAGCATTAGCAAGAAGATAGCAGACAGAATCACCTTTCTTTAATGTTATTTTATCCTTGCTAATAGGTTGCTTATATTTTGTTGATGGTCTAGATTCTACTCGTTCTAATGCAATGGCTTTTACAGGCTCGAGCCCCCACTTCTCTGATTCTGGTTCTCTAATAAGACGTGTAGGGTAGTTATTTAGATAATCGATAACTTTTGGCAAATATCTAACCCATGCTCTTATTAATCTTGAATCAGAAGATATCAACTCAACAGTATACTGAATCTTATAGAGTATATCCCCATCCGTCTTATTAAAACGCTCTACTATTGCAAGACCTCTATGACTATAGGGCTCTACTACTCGAATCGTGACATTATGCTCTTGCATCAATCGGGAAGTCTTGCCCATCTATTCTTGCCTATTATCTGTTTGAAGTAACTTAGGATAGGTAAGAGAATTATTAGGGTCATTATATACTTTTTTAAATGCTTTAGCAACTTCTAAACTCTTCTTTGAGGTAAGCAGAACTGATGCCTTATATTGGGAGGCACAGTCTATTATATTAAGTACTGCTTTATATATTTTTCCCTTATATTTATCATGCGTGAAAAATAATATATCAGCTTGATATACATAATTTGGTTATGTTATTTTCCTATAACTGACTCTAGGAATATGTTTAGGTAGGTATATAGATTTGGTACGATTGCTAGCATTCCAAAAAATCTTTACATTCACTTAAACAAAATCAATGCCCTCTTTTTTACAAGCATCTCTTAAGGATTTAGGGTTGGAATAATATCTGGGTGGATGATAATATACATCACGCATTATAAAATTTTTTTCGATTCTCTGGGCCTCATCTGAATTGATATAGATAACTGGTTTTTCCATTACTTTATTTGACAATAGTAAATAAAAAATATGGAGGAATTACAACAGAGTAATTAAGAACTTCATGAGGTAGTACACAATTAGCAGAATCAAACAGAAATTTTGAACAACGGCTATATACCTTAGAAAGAATTATTGATATACGGGAGGAAAGAATATGGTTTCTTGAAGAAGAGTTAAATAATACTATCAAAATTTCTATATTAGAAAAAGAGAAGCTAAAAGAAGAAATTTCAAAATTAAAAAGAATCATCAGGGTATGGCAATATAGTACAGTTGGCAAGTTGTTATCTCCCAAATGACAAGTCTAGGGTTCAAATCCCACTGGTGATGATTTTGAAAAATTAAGATTTGTTTCGGTAACAATTATTCAACGATTGGTTGGGTATATCACCTGTAGTCTTGGTACTACCATCTTGAATGGGAGCTTTCGGGCGAAGTATAAAATCAAGAAACCGGAATAATTGAAACCCATTTGGCAAATCCCGAGCAAGGAGGTAGTGGAGATCTTCGACGATACTGTAGAAATCGGAATCCTGGAAACCGGAGACCGAAGAACTGGACGCAATAACCTCGGGGCAAGAGGGGTTCACCAACCTGGCCGCCGGAGTCGTACTGGAGGAAAAGATCCTATGTTATGGAATTAGAAACCAAAGGAAGGGAACCATAAGGCACCTAAAGCCTAGGTATACCAACCTATCCGGGCTAACTGGTTTGGAAGTTTGGGAGGGATCAGTATAAGGACCGGAAAGAAGGTAGATGTAGGTATCGGGATTGAAACGAACCTTGTAAGGGCAGGGGAACCAGGAATTGTGTGGTTTAATGGTTAGCCCTGACCGCTAGTATTGGCCTCGGCCATAGCAGACAGGTTCTCTGAATCTAATCTGGAAATATGTGGGATATAGAAGGATTAGGGAGGTAC